AAGAGAAAGGTAATTAAATCATTGAATTCAAGACTGTTGATCGATCTCATTTTGTTTTAAAGTTATTTTGAATTATATACTTTATTTTTGAAATGTTATTGCATATTTTTTGTCGATCTTTAGGACTGTTTATTATATGTGTTTTGATGTATTGACAAGTTTGTTTATGACACTAGTACAAAATGGAGCAAAGAAATTAGAGTTTAAGCTACCCTTCTTTAAACAAGGGTAGTGTATTATTTTAAAAAAATGGGGCGGTGGCATTATTGTAAATAAATGAAGAAGAAACCGCTACCCTTTTTAAAATAAGGTAGCGGTTAAATAAAAAAAAAAGACGAAAACAGTTTACCGCTGCCCTTTCTCGTAGCAAGGGCAGCGGAAACAATATCTAAAAAAAAAAAAAAAAACTCAAAAAAGAAAAAATAATCAGTTGATCGAAAACCCTCGCTCACAACCCTCAACATAGTTCTCTCCCTCAACACATGCCGATCGACGCCTCACCTCCCTCCCTCAACACACGCCGGTGCCGTGCCTCACCTCCCTCCCTCAACACACGCCGACGCCGACGCCTCACCAGTGACTCCCTCAGCCGCCGCGACAGTTCTCCTCACCGCCACTCAGTTCTCCTCGCGCTGTGAGTTCCACCTGTTCATCGATTCACCGCCGCAATGCCCTCATCCGCCGTGTCCACCGCCACAGTTATCAGCCTTCGCCGCCGCTGCTTCGTATCAGGTAATATTTTTTTTTTTTGGTTAATTTTTTTAAAATTATTATTGTAATAAATATTATGTTTGTTAATTTTTATAATTTGTATTTCGAATTTTTAGTTATTTGTTGTTATTTTGGTTATTATAAACCAATTGTCCTAAAGTTTTAAATTTGCAGTGATAAACCAATTGTCCTAAAGCTTGAATTCTATCTTTTTCGTCTGTCTGCAGTGGGTACGAATGTTGGAAACAATGTTAGGATAGGTTTGAAAATGCAAAATTATTTTATATATAAACATATTGCAGTGGGGACATACTATATATAAAGCTAGTGTTTCATAAACATATATTGGATAGGGGATTTGATTAAAAAATGCAGTGGGGATCAGTGAACACTACAAATCATATATTAAAGGGATTTGTGTGATTGCAATGTTAGGATCAGTGAAACAATGTTAGGAAAGCATTAGAAAAAGAAAGCTTTTTCTTTTCAAGTAATCTATTGAATGGCCACATTTTCTTCCTTAATTGCTTCTTCGAAATTTCAAGTAGTTTCATGCAATTTCAGTAAATAGCAAGTCTATACTACTGCTTATCACTCAAGGATCTGTATCGTGACACTTTGGGTCACGTGAGTTGTAGTTAAATGAACAAGTTTGTATTCAAAACAGTATAGTCCCATGCTTGTTTGTACTATTTTTTTCTTTTTACTGTCTCATTTATGTTTGAGAAAGTATTAAGACTATATATGTTCTGGAGATAAAGATGCTTTAGTTGATTATTTCTTTTAACAGTAGAAGGATAAACAGAACATTGACTTTTTACTCTTAAGACTATATATGTTCTGGGGTACTTAGAGTATCGTTTCTCACTCTTTTACTCTTAATTTTATTTCTCACTCACAAGTAATATCAGTTTTACTTTTTATCTATCATTCTCAATGTTGAAAATTTATGCATGAAACTCTGCTACTCATGATATCTAAGCACTGGTTTATTGTTGTCTACACTTAATATAACCAGGAGCGGATCTGTTAGAGTAAAGAACATGAAAAGAATAACAGAAAGATAAAGTGGTTTATTGAACAGGGATGGAGTTGCGGGCATAACCTGATGATTTATTGCTTAGCTGGGCAGTATATGAGGGTGGTCAGCAGAGAGGTAAAGTGGCAAGCAAGGAACAAGCTTGGGGCTGGCAATGGAACACCATGGTCATCTCTTTTTAGCATGCTAGAAAGGATTAGTTTTGGTATCTCATGTCTTCTTAGTTTTGTTTCTTTGCTGTGTATGCTTGTTTGTGTTTTGTTTGGGGCTGGAGGCTTGGTGTGGTCCTTGTACAACACTCACACTGATTTGGGAGTGCCTTGGCAAAAAGGAAATGATGGAATAGTAGGGAAAAGAAAAAGAAAACAAACAGAATGATGAAAACAGAAAAGAAAAAGAGAAAAAGAGAAAGGAGAATAATTGAGAGAACTAGGCCACAATTTACATGATAAAGTGATGAACTAAGGTTCAACAATAATTTGATTGCTACACAAGCATATTTAATATGTTTGAGTATGACCAATAGTGCTGAGCTAGTTTCTCTTGTCAGTGCACCAAAATAATGTAATATACTTTGCTTTTTATTTTTATTTTTATTTTTATTTTAATATTGGGAATTCTATGTGTTGCTATGCCACTTTGCTTTTGGAAGTATAAATCAATGGAATGGCTACTTGGAAATTCACATCTGAAAATGGTAGATTGTTTGCTATTTGGTATATTTGCAGTTGGGTTCATCATTTTAATGGGTTGTGGAGCATTTTTAATGAAAATATTTGTAATTTAGGAGAAAGCTCCCTACATTGCTAAGGCATAGCAGCGCAAGGAGGACTACAACAGACAGATGGAAGCTTACAACTAAGAAAAGGTTAATAAGTTTTCATATATTATTCAATTCGTATAGTTATCTTGGTTGTCTTGTTCCTTTAGTATGTTTTATGTTTGAAGTTTGAGTCTTTCTTGTGATTGACAAATAGGAGGGAGGTGATGAGGAAGAGTTTGATAAGTCCAAGCCTGAAGTGAATGATGATGAGGAAGACGGCAATGGAGAGGTTTGTCAACGTTTCATTACGACCTTTTAAGTACAATAGTATTCAAAAAAAAAAAATACACTATACACTGTATTTATTTATGATCGATCTATGTGATGAATGTAGCATGCTAATCATATTTAAAGATCATGTGCTTTATTATATTCCTTCTTTTTATACATGCATATATACTTAAAAGTATAAAGTATCTATTATCATATGCAAATTTATTATGTAAGTTTTAGTTTTGGTTGCATGTTCATCACTTTGAATAACAAATTAAATTATTACATTAGAAATAAGTGATCTTGCTCCTTTACTTTTACTTTAGTATTTGATATAGTGTGTTGATAATGTTGTGTTAATATGTAGTGTGTTGATAATATTGTGTTAATATATAGTGTGTTGATAATATTGTGTTTTGATAGTTTGTTGATAATATTGTGTTGATATGTAGTGTATGAATTTCGTATAGGATTTTTAAAAAATTGGGGGATTTAAAAATAAAATGTTTTTTTTTTTAAATAAAAAAAAATCCGCTACCCTTCTTTTGAAAGAAGGGTAGCGGATGCTTTAAAAATATAATAATATTCGCTACCCTTCTATACAAGGGTAGCGGAAAGCTCACGACTTTCAGCGTCCCCCACATCCGCTACCCTTGCACAAGGGTAGCGGATGACCCTTTACAAGGGTAGCGAATGTGCATTTCTGTACTAGTGTGATGAAGGAAAACATTAATTTTTGCTGAAGTTTGTTTCTATAATCATGTTTTAGGTAACTCTGTCAACTCGTAATTGTGCTAAAGTGTTGTATAAAAGTGTAGTTATTAAAAAGAATTTTATGAAGTTTAAATTTTCATAAATAGCGAAGTATAGTTGAGAGCAAGATAGAGTTACACAACGTAATAGAACTTTAAAGATATACATCAGAGTGTACGTACTTACGAAACCAATCTTATAGTAGCAAGAGTTTCCATGATAGTAAGACTTTAGAGCAATATAAATCTACTTCTTTGGAGTTGTGTACTTGTATGAAGCAACAAGTCTTCTCAAGTAGTAGATCAGAGGTTTTTAGCAAGATTTTGATAAGCAATAGAACTTATGAGCATAGGGGAGTGATAAGCAACAACAGAGATTCTTTTCAAGGACAATCAAGAGATTCTCTGTTCAAGTAGCATATAAGATTTTCTTACTCTTAAAACGAGATGTTGACACACTATCCAAGAAAGATATGTACTTGACCAAACAAGTATAGTTGATGTGGAAAGAGTTCAATATCTGAATTATATATATATAAGTTGCACATAACGGTTGGACAAATTAAAACTCTACACTTCAAATCCTAATTATTGTTTCTGCAAATTGATCAATTTGAATTTGTTTTCCTTCCATTGGCAAATTTAAATTCCTAGTATAACTAAGAGTGAGCTTGGGAAGATAAGTATTACGAGACAAGAGATACTAGAAATAAGTGCAATTATATATAATTTTCAAGAGTCACAGAAAATATATGTGATATATTTTCTATCAAGTAAGAAAGATAAGCTTTCAATGCAATTCAATCACTCAAAGAGACTCGAAACTTTACTTTACACACTTACCATTCAACAGTTTATTATTATTATTTTTTGAATGTTACTGGCCCTATTACATTCAACAGTTTATTAGTTGCTCTTATTTATATTTTTTAATGTCGTTTCACAAACTACAAATCGTGCTAAGTCTGCTATGTGTTATTTTCAATGTGCATCAACTTAGCTTGGAACTAAAGTTTTTGTTGACTAATTTGTTAACATTTCAACATAACTTGTCTCGATAGTTTTGTGAAATTAACTATCAAGTCCATCTATAGGAATATATGAAATGAATGATGGCCAGAGAATGTAGCAAATTATGGGATTGGAGAAACAAAAAATCATGAGAGAAACAACCTGCAAGGGGAGTGGTGAGATCATATATATATAGTAAGACCAATTTTGAGCCACACATTTTTTTTTTCTCAACAACCCCTAATATCCTGGTTAGGTAAGGTTTTTATAGCTTCAAGAATCATTATTAACTAATCATGCATGCAAAAAATCCCCATAGCACCATATGTTTCCAAAGATAGTAATTAAGAGCCCAAAATGGTAAACCCATTACATCATACATCTCATATTGTTTGTCTAATTCAACTAACAAAAGTCATTCAAATAATTTATAACTAATATAATTATAACTAATAATTTATAACTAATAATAGGAGTCGATATAATGTTACTGAATCAAACTCAATCACCATACAAAGATTGTTATTTCTTAAAGTAACATAGTGTACACCTCAGGATTACATGTTAACTTTGGATGTCCACAGACGTTTACGATATTCAGCCAATGGCCACAATGGGAAGTAACTCCTATATTGTGCATAGTCCAACATGCAATTCCTCATAAAGACTCCAGTAATGTCCTAATTATGTTTTGTAATTATTAATTATTAGGAAAGTATTTGAAAAATAAAAAAGATAAAAATATTTAAAGAAAAGTAGCTATTTTTGTCTTCATATTTGCAGCTATAAGCCACTAAAATCTTGTTGACAAGCAAGAAACCAAAACCGTCAGCTTGTACGTAAACATTTGAAGGGTAATTAATATTTATGTTAGCAATTGAAGTTTTGAAATTTCTATTTTCTATAAATATTAGTACAAAAAAATTATTTTTCAAATATTTGAATTACAAATACGTAGGTGGGTAAATAGTTGACTTACTTGTTGAGGGAAATCTCCATTTTTCATTTGTGCATTGATTAATAACTTAGCCGCTTTGTGTAAAGGAGTTGGATCCCCCTCAACCTAATAAACAGGGACAAAAAACACCCTTAATTACATAAGTTGTTCTTTGAGCATGCATGCATCTAAGGGTACTTTTTACCTAGATTTCACTAAACAATACTAACCTGTCCAGTGTGCATGAGTCCTAGCATTGCCCACGATGTTTGTACCAAATTTGTACGATTCCCTTCCAATGGTATATATAGTTGCATGTTATTGATGTTGTGCCTTTGTCTCAATGTGTGTACATCAATACAGTTGTTTTACCGAATGAATTTGATGAGGACAACCAAAGGCTCAAAGATCAACATACAAATAAGAGAAGTCACAATTACAAGTTCAAAAGCTAAGAAATTGCGACGGGTTGTATATGGATTAATCCATGCAATTTGCCAAAAATAAGTGAGGAATTAATCTAAATGGTCCAAATTTTCGTGGCTGCATTGGGAGAATTCAAATGAAGCTAAACTCAATCCATTAAGGCAAATAAATTCTCATTTAGTATAGTTTTAATATTATTCATGTGCTATATTTATTTTATTTTAGGTTACATGTCTAGGATGAATGAATACCATTCATTGCCTTGTAATGGAGTCTTTTGATCTCCTTGAGAGTTATGTATTAGCCTATTTAAAGGCTAAGCACAATCAGAATTTTAAAGATAGAGATGAATGAAGTTGAATGAAAGAAATGCTTAGGCATTTTGTTGTCTCTCTTGTGTGTTGAGAGATGTTATTCTAGGCTTATCAAGATAATACCAATCTTGTGGTGTCATCCATTCCTTATCACCTAGGACCAAGGTGTGGCGGAAATATCTTTATACAAAAACACAAAAATAATCCCCCAAACCAACCAATTCCATCTCCAAACCCTCAAACCGTAATTGTTGTTCATGCTGTTTTGGTGAGGAAAAGATCGGGCAACCGTAGGAATCTTTGCTGAATCGAATCTTGAAATCATCAACAAAGATCCGTATCAGTTTGGTGTCAGAGCATCAGGTTGATGCTCTGACACCAAACTGATACGGATCTTTGTTGATGATTTCAAGATTCGATTCAGCAAAGATTCCTACGGTTGCCCGATCTTTTCCTCACCAAAACAGCATGAACAACAATTACGGTTTGAGGGTTTGGAGATGGAATTGGTTGATGTAGGGGTTGGTTTGGGGGATTAATTTTGTATTTTTGTATAAAGATATTTCCGCCACACCTTGGTCCTAGGTGATAAGGAATGGATGGCACCACAAGATTGGTATTATCTTGATAAGCTTAGAATAACATCTCTCCACACACAAGAGAGACAACAAAATGCCTAAGCATTTCTTTCATTCAACTTCATTCATCTCTATCTTTAAAATTCTGATTGTGCTTAGCCTTTAAATAGGCTAATACATAACTCTCAAGGAGATCAAAAGACTCCATTACAAGGCAATGAATGATATTCATTCATCCTAGACATGTAACCTAAAATAAAATAAATATAGAACATGAATAATATTGATATGAACCTAGTCCAAGGCTCAAATAAAGATGGAATATTGTCCCAAGAATGCTCTCAAAACTAAAGATAGAGATGGATCAAAATACCTTAAACCTCACGAAAACCCTTTGTGATATGAACCTAGTCCAAGGCTCAAATAAAGATGGAATATTGTCCCAAGAATTCTCTCAAAACTAAAGATAGAGATGGATCAAAATACCTTAAACCTCACGAAAACCCTTTGTCTCGAATCCTCAAAGACTTGGAAGAATCACATGTAGCTTCAAGTACCTCGATGTTGCAATCTTCAATCAACTAGAGTCGGATCTAGTTTCTTTCGATTCAAGAACGAGTCCACGAACCTAAATCTAAGGTTGAAGAAAGTAAGATTGATTCGAGTCCACGAATCAATTTGCTAGTCGAGTCCACGACTAGCCACTAATTGAGTCCACAATTAGCCATAAGGTTTCTTACACAAGTGTAAAGAAAAACTTAAGAATTTTATTGAATTAAAGCCTGTTTAAAACTGATATGGATGTGCCCTATTTATAGGTATAGGGCAGCATTGTAATCTAAATACAATGGGAAAAAGAGTCCTAAACCTAATCTAGAAAACAAGTAAATAGAGTTTTATTTAGAAAAGGATTTAAGGAATCCTTTCTAAATACAACTAGTGTTTTCTCTTTTATGCCAAACAATTTAAATTAATGATGACCAAAAATAATAGGGCTGATTTGGGCCTAATTTAATCACCAAAATCAGCACTTAAACAATTATAAAAAAGCCTTGAGTTCTTCTTCATATTTTGCAAATGGGCTTGACTTGGATTTCCACCATCTTTGAACATCACCAATGAAGAGTTGCCTTAATTGTTTGGACTTGGGCCTTGTGATTGGCCCAATTAGTACTCTTAATGGATCTTCATATGTTGGGCCGCATCATCCTCCCCTTCTTGAAAATGATTCGGCCTCGAATCTTGTAAGCATTGTCTTCGATCCATTATATCACTTGAAATTGGCCACTATAATATTTTCCTCTATCGAATGGACTTATTATTGGTCTTTGTTGTTTGTTCCACCAATGATGTTTTAAGGTCGTAGTTATGGGCCTTGTGATGAGCCCACTATTTACCCATACTGGATTCCATGTGTACTGGTTCCTATTATTCTCCCATTCTTGAAAAGGATTCGTCCTCGAATCCAAATCTTCAGTGAAAGACAAGATAGCAAGCTCACTTTCTGTTTTATCACGCTCATGGAACTTTTTCTTGGGATGCTTGACACGAGTCGCTCCAATCATCATCCTACAATCAACAAGTAAGGCAATTAAGTCTAATGACACATAAGGGAATTTAAACATTCTGGATGGTAATAATTCAACAAAATGAGACATATTAAATTTATGCATCTTATTTGAATTGTCAACAAGCACAAAATCTTTCCTCCTAGAGCTTAAGGTAAAATCAAACAGAAAATTCATGGAAATATCAAGTAATGATTTAGATGTATTATGGTGGTAAGTAGCACAATTCTGAACATAAGATTCTACATCTTTTTTCTTCTTTGGCCAATGAAAATATTCATGCAAAAGATCATTACTCTTTAGAAAATCAAAATGTCCCGTATGTGAATCAACAATTAAATCATTGCCCAAAACAAAGCAAAAAGTGTCAATCCCATTGACTTTGAACCAAAACCCCTTGTGCAAGTGGTATTTGCCATAAGAAGTTTTCAAATGTGCCTTATAACTTCCAAGTGATTCCTTATCTCTATCAAATAAAGTTTTAGTAAAATCAAAATTAAGGAATCTTGGATGTATTGATGCAAACAAATTTCTAGCACATCTGGCAAGTAGGTCATTAATAGAAACATGGCAAACAAATGTAGAGAATTTTAATGCATGCTTTTGAAATAAAAGTGAGTAAATAGTTACTCCCCTTCTTTTCTCTTGCTTATTATCTTTTTTTGTTAGCAAGCGAGGCTGCACTTTGATAGCTTTGGCTGGTTCTTTCCACTGTACCACTGATAGCGGTTCCTTTGTTTGGCTACAATCTAAGTTAGAGGACTGGAGTGGTGACTCCAATTCTAAACGTGGAGGTTCCAGTTTGCTCTCTTTGATTTCTTCTTTCTTCAAGGCTGGTTTGAGAACTTGCTTCGATCTCAATTGAATTTCTTCTACTTGTTTTGGAAGTAGAGGCTTAAGCACATGTATAAATCTATTATAGGTGACATTGCATGTGTTGTTGAGTGCATTATAATAAAAATGTCTATCATGTTGCCATGACCTTCCAAGTGAAACATGTGCAGTACACATTGGCACAATATCGCATAGAACCTCATCATAATACTTGCCAATACAAAAAGAAATAAAAACTTGTTTAGTCACTCTCACATCCCCAGAATCAATAAGATTGTATGGTTGGGGGTGATTGATAAGAGGTAACTTAAGGTAGTCCACCATGGCTGCACTAGCTAAATTCATACAACGATCCGAATTGATAACGATAATGCATCCCTTTCCATGAATGTTTCCCCTAGTATAGAGTGGCAGTTGCACTCGCTTAGGGTGTTGCTCTAGATTAGTCATTCGAGTGCTTAAACCTTCCATGGCAAAGGCTAGAGCATCTATTTTATGCTCTAATCTCTTACGTGTGTTTGGAACCTCTTCAGCCATCTGTAGATGAGAAACAAAATCTAAAAACAAGAAGATATGTGAGTATTCATGTTAGTGAAACCAAAAAGTTGGCTCGCTCCCTCTCTATTCTCAGCTCACAGGTAAGAGGTGGATTATATGGCTCGGGGGTGCACTACACACTCTTACAAACACACACTCCACTCGTGTATCGCTCAAGGTGGCAGATACTCTCACAAGCCTTTTTCCAAAAAGGAAAATTCTAGTCCGGAACTCAAGTTGATATGGATTCAACCTCAAAGTTCAAGAAAACATACCTTGGAAAACTTCACAAGCCTTTGAGAGTAAGGTGTATCGCGAGGTAGGTAATAAAATTGAGAGCAAGAAGCAAAGAAAAAGGACAATACGAGCAAAGAAACTAAATAAGATTTGAAAGAAAAAGGAAACCAAAGAAGGAAGTATGGCAGAAAGATATGCAAGATCAATATCAAAAGATAGAGACAAATAGACTATAAAAGGGGTTCACGTGTACCACAACCAATTAGGAATCTATCAAGAACTCCTTCCAACCTTATACTTTTCCCCTTCCTTGTCCCTCCAAAATTCTCCTACCAGCCAAATTCTTTCCCCAACCTTATTCTTCTTCTTTATTGCTTTCTCTCTTTTTTTTTTTCAACTTTCTTGATTTTTTTTTTATTTTTTTTTGATAGGTAACCTCCAAATAACTACTGTAAATAACAACAAAAATTTCGGACCAAGAGGAACCACACAACCCCTTCAAAACAGAATCAAGAATTTCAAGAATCGCCCAGAAAAACAGAAACAATGTTCTTACTTCGAAGATCAATATCTCAATGACCGTAAGGAATTAGCAAGTGTATAATATATCAATAGAACTCCCCAGAAGAGATCTAAAACATATCAAAATATCAGATAAAACTAACCAGTGGATCTTGAGATATAGGTAATTCTTTGAAACTGGTCACAGCTCGCGGAAATCTGGACAGGGTGTGATTGAGACGTTATTGCGCGTAAATGCGCTTTGGATATAGGTAAGGGTGAGATGGGGTTGTTTTCTTTACAGAATA